AAAAAAAAAAAAAAAAAAATAGATTATAACTACTTTATTTTGGTTAACATAAGTAATATTCTACCTATAAATGATAAAATGTACAAAAATACTTTTTACTGATATAGCTGAAAAAAATTTAACATTTCACAATTGTATAAAACATTTTCAACTACAAACACTCTTACATAATATATAAATAACATGAAATGTCATGTATAAGAAACTTATATTTTATATAGTAAAGCTTACAAATTAGAGAATTAGATAAAACATCATACTTTAAATTTCAGTAGGAACGATGAATGTATTGATTTTAAGATGATATATGTTTTTTTTGTATGTGTCTGAAGGCATTTCTATAGTATAAAGAATGCTTTGATTTTTCAACTTCAATATCTTTTCTGGTTGAAAAGTGAATCACGTTGGTACCTTGGGAGATCAAAGCTCAAAAGTAAAAAATCCCAATTATTTTCTGTAGAATTGGAAGAAACAAAAAAAAATTAACGAAATACGCTTCCCTTTTTTATGAATGTAGGTTGTAATTTTAAATATTAGATTAAATTATTAATTAATATATGTACCTATAATTGTTTATTCTGGGCTGAGCTTGTACTATTGTAAGAAAAAAATGAACATTGAGTGCATATTATACGTACTCTGTTTTAGCAAACATCGTCAAATAGCCAATTACCAATTGAAACAGAAAAATGAGCGAAATCTTGAACTCCAAGAAGAAAAACAGAAAAACATTGATTTTGAAAGAAGTTTGTTGAATCAGCTTAAAGAAAAGTATAAATGATACATACGATAATAGTATAAATGATGTTATCTTCTTTTATATCATGTACTTAATATTTTGTTTTAAAGAGACGAAATATTGCAGAGAAATTTGTTACAAAAAAAATTAAGCCAAAAGAAATTCTTAAGTGAAGATTGGAACAAATTATTGGGCATGTCAGAAACCGAACGTCGTAAAAACGAAGTACCCGGTTCATATGTAAGTTTAATATTACGATAAAAGCATATTATCATTGAACGCGTAGGAGGAGATTTACGTTTATTATACCTATACATTTTAACCACTAATGAATTCGAAGTTCCAACGATTGTATAATATTGCATCTAAATTATTGTTTTTTTTTAAGATTTTTAAAAATGCGCCAATCGTAAATAACCCTGTATATCTGTGCCTGTATACAGTACTGTATTACTATTTTTGAAGAAAGTCGAGTATATTTTATTTTCATAGATGTAAGATTCGGATAAACTAATTTTATCGTACACAGTGGGGCCTGCAGTAGACGAGAGTACCTAATACCGTAATAAAACGATAGATACCAAATATCCTGAACACCAAATGTTTCTATAATCTTGACTAAATTATTTTTTTTGATTTTTTTCTGACGATACAAATTTAAATAGTTAAATTCAAACTAATAAAAGTAATTATCATTGGGCATACTTTAAGTTTTGACTTTTTAGAACTAATTAGAACTTTTTTTATTAACTACACGTATCACAATTTGAATTATCGTTAAGATTATTGGAGCATAGTATACTATTCGGATAACCACCTGCAATTTGTTAATTTATAGATATTTTACGTTTAACTATAGCAAATCCAGCACATAACTACATATTATTATATGTAATACAATGATCGTCAAGTGCATAATAAATGTATTCACAGCTATATATAATGTTATTGTACCCATATAGTTTTATCATGTACAAGAGGCGTTAACTTTACAACTTTTACGTGCAGTTAATACCGTAGAGACTCGAGACGTATAATTTTTTTACAACATGCATGCGTGTGTGAAGGTACCTACGTGGTTACGAATGTAGAGCGATAAATTCTCTTTATTTTATAGAATGAAAAACTCATTTTTCAGCACGTTTGTGTACAATGTCGAGTTGGACTTTTTAGTATAGAACAACTACCTATTTGATATATTTTAGGTAGATTTAACGTTTTATGATATTATGACCATAAAGTATATTTTATTATTGTGTGTTTGCAGCCTATGAGTTTTCCACTGAAAAAAACTGCAAAACGATGTCGAATATGTAAAAAAAACGGCCTGGGATTTCTTGTGGAAAAAATAAGCGATTTCATGTGTTAAAAATATTAACTGGATAATATATTATACAGAATGTTTAGGATTGTATGTGCCAAAATACAAAAATAAATAATCTAATCGTGACTTTAGATGGAATCAAAATTCATAAGTCGTTTTTGTGATTTGTCAGATTAAATATTCTTAACAATTTACAGTAAAAAAGGTAGGTTATTTCAATTGAAAAAAGGTTGGCAACTGGATATACCGATCTGCTGTACTCGCAGTACAGGTGTCTAGACTCGAGAGAGGGGTCACTGTAATGGATGAGTTAAATTCGAATTCAATGGTATCAAACCATTGTATGCGAAAAACGATTCTGAGCGAAGACCGCCTGTGATGTCTATCGGTCTGCATTAGATACTATTAAAATACTAAATATATATTTTATGATATAATTGCTATTAAAGTAATTTGTAATATTACATTAGACAATAGTAGTATAATACAGTAGGTTTAATTAATTTTTGCTAAAAAATTGCATTTCATTGTGTCTTTTCACAATATCATAATAAACTTTATACGTTTACCTACTAAAAAGTTTCAACTTTTCAAGTAACCACGAATAATATTTTTAAATTACAACAGAATAACGTCGCTGAAATTTAAAATATCGAAAATATATAATCACAATTTTTCACTACGGTTTCTGTCCCTGCACGAAACCTTCTATTCAGCAAATCAAGTATTCCCAGGATTTTTTTTTATTTCAGAGTGTTAAATTCGATGGATTAAAATGATTTAAATTGTTTCAATACTTTAAATTTTAGATATTGCATGATATTTTATTTAGGTTTGATAAAAACCTATATAACGTCTCAGACATTTAAGACAAACGTATTTACTGTATTAGTCGGATTAATCGCATTGAAATAATGAGCTCGACATCAAGGCATGATGAATTTGTGGGATATGACAACAAATTACAACGTTGATTTTGCTTTATGAACATAGTTAGGTATACATGACATGTCATATTATTACAGTGAAACTCGAACTTTTGGTATCGAAATTGTTTTAAACCTCATATAACTGATATTTTCTCAAGTTCGGGTCGCATACAGAATCAAGTGATTTCATTGATCGCATACTATTGGATTTATGGCACTTAACGACTATTCTATTGAAAATAGATAAGTAAAATACAAGTCAATTGATAATCCTCTTAGATGATCAGAAAGGACACCATTGCGGCATCATTACATATTTATTTATTCAATAAACAGACGTGAGTCCTTTCATATTATAGTCATTGTTATTACATTGCGAGCAAAAACGACAAACATTGTACGATAAATTGACAAATATTATTATCTACTTATAATATTATATATATTTTTTAATCAGTATAAATAACCAACAAATCTATGAGATTCTATATTTACTATCACAAATACATAACTCTAAATAATATCAAAGAAAAGTCTGAAATATTTACTTGAAATCTCGATTCTCGGCTGCATTTAACCAATATAATATTGTACCTATCATACGGCGTGTGTTTGATCTATTAATAAAATTACGAATGCACTACGTATGCAGTACCAGAAAAGTAATCTGAGATTTGAATACATAATACATGAATGGGCCACATAAGTGCCCGGTGGCCGATTTGATAGCATAGCATTTATTAAATGCCAGTGAGGGGCATAGTTACCTAAATAATTAAATCTCAAGGCCGAACGTCATGTCTACCTATGTATTTTTTTCACTTAACATTATTCATTCGTTTTTAATTAATTACAAAACATATAACTTTGTCTATTTAAACAAAACTAGTATAATTTACACTAACCATCTCAGCACTAATAATTAAATAGTATTCTCGATTGCACAAAACACGAAATAATGAGACATTGTTATGATTTTTAACTATCAAATATACTATAATATAATATGATACTTCAGACTTCTATGAAACATTGAAACGTTAAGTTTTTTTGAAATATTTAAAACACTAAATGAGATAATGGCCGGTTGCGATAAGTGGCTACTGCAGTTACAGAAGCGGACGTCACAAAAATTACTTTTATAAGATTTTAAATATTTTTAAAAAAAACTAAACATTTTAGAGTTTTAGACAAATTCTGGTCCCACTATAACATCTTCAGTACATAAAGGCTCATTGCATGTACAACAAAAAATCAAAAATATACTCAAAAGGTAAGTTATTCTGTGAACCGTGAAGAGAGAAACTTTTACACGTATAAGATAGGTTAGGTAGAAGTTACGCCCAATGGGCAATGACGTCACGGATCTTATTCAATTCTTCATACGTCATAACTCATTTAATAATGTGAGTAGAAAAGTTAAACCCGAACCATTTTTATTAGAATTGAAAATTCTTTCAAATTAAAAACTTATTTTTTGTGTTTTGTGTTCCTTTAATAAAAACCTTTCGTACAAAAATAACGTAAATAAAATTTGTTTAGTCAATGAGTTATAACTATTTACTATGTGTTTTTATCATCAAAAACAGTTGTAAATCCTATTCTCTTACCATGATTACCCTGCTCAAAGTAGATGATATTTCGATTATGATAGCATAATAATGATAATAACATATATTCATTATCTACATATTATAAGAAACCATCTAACCTCCAGGTTCCCACTGTTGTTTGATATCAGTTGTGAGCCCGGGGCCATGGCCTCCCTGGCCTTCCTTAATCCCGGGCTGTGTTGCTTCTACCTAAATTGTGCCAATGTATTTTTAATATTTTCAAATATTATTTTGATAAAACCAAAGTGGATCTATCACTGTAATTCAAAAAGCTAATAAAAAACTCATGTAGAATCTTGTATTTAATTTTCAAGTTTCTGGACAAAAAACAATCGAAAATTATTGTATATGGTTATAAATCCCTAGCTTAAAAGAGTGGAAGTATGTTATAATCCGAGTAGAGATTACATCAGAAAAGTCGGTTGGGTACAGTTTAAGTCGTGAGCGTCCTTGGTGAATGCAAGTGGGTGTAATATTAAAGTGCATTGATCTAACACCAAACATAAAGGTAGTAAACTGAGAACTAAGAGCATTATCTGTAGGTATTAGAAATTAGGTTGGGTTTTTTACGATATTTTAATTGTAAGGTGAGTTACAAGCATTTTGAAATTGTAATGTATATTTTTTATTACCTACCTAAATTTTATTATTATACGAACTCATATCGAGGGGTAGAACCAGAATGAGAGCAAAAATCCCATTGTAATATCATTATTAACCTAACCCTAACGATTTTTACATTTATCACGCGACTACAGTAGTTTCAATTCGGAAGTTTTCATTGTGAATTAGAAGATTTTTAGTATAAGATAATTGAAAACAAAGTAGCCGATCTCTTTTTGTTATTAATTAACAGAACACACATGTGTCTCTGACATCGGATATTATTATACGAACACAATATATCGCCATGTACCACCGTAAGCCAAACCTTATATATACCGTAAACAGTATAATATATATATGTAGGTAGTTTTATATTATTGTAGTTGAATCGAGTACACACATGTCGGATTATCGTACAATCCATGGATTACTCGTGTAGATGCCCGTGTCCAGGGGCGTCACTTAATTATGGCCTAGGGGTGACCTTTATAATTAATGAAATTATAGTTATATTTTATCAATTTTTACCACCGACGTCACATGGGAGTCCCCACTTTTGCCGTGGGATTTGAAAATAATAAAAACTTATAACGATTTTTAATAAATGTATATCCTATGCCACAGAGGTTTTATGGTACATAAAATAAAATATTTATAGACATATTATATTACTGATGGAATCTTATACTACCAAGAAATAACATTTTTTCTTTATTTTTAATAACATTGCATTTTATTTTGCTGCAAAAATATAAAATATAATAGGTATATATTATATTTTATACACCTGTGTTTTACGTTAGGTGGGTACTCAATTTGTTTTAACTATAAAATAAAAGGGTGGACTCTTATTTGTATAATTTATTGATGTATATCCACCCAATCTAAAATACCAACAATATTAATTTGAGCAGTTATTGAGAATAGCGTTATGAAATCGACAACTTACGGAGGGATTTGTGTGTCTGAGTGACTACAGTAGTTGAGTATAATATTTAATAATAATATGTGAGTAGTGTAGTTTGCTGCGGCCAGATGTGGGTACCTACGAATACTTGAAGTTGTAAACAGTAATATAATAGCTCATCTCGAATCTACGGGTAGAGCTAGGAGAAATAACGACCATTATAGAGTATTTACTGTGGCAAAGTATGTGTTAATAGGTTATGGTCGTTCCCTCATGAGGTTTTCTTTTACTACTTTGACTCCTAACTTCCCAAGAAAATTTACGTTCAAAAATGAGGATTTCTATAAAAAAAACACACTGTGGGTGAATGCTCGTACTTGCCAGTTGGTGCAAATCTATTGAGAGGACGAGTAACGTCAATAACTGCAATAATAATTAGTTTGATTCTGAGAAAATAAACATGGGATATTCTATGAAAAAAAAATATTTATACTATTTATTATGTACAATCGTCAATCATGCACGTCCCTATCTTCAGAAACGCGGCGAATGACGATTAATCTAGCAAAATAAAATAAAATTCGGCAATAATCACCTAGTGTGTAAATAATGTACCTATAAAATAAGCAGTTATATACCCGCATATTTATTTTAAAACATACGTAGGTACTTATTGTTATATAATAATCTAATAACGTTCATTATTGTTTCATGTTTGGATGTTCAGCTTGAAGATTTTGATTTTACAGTTTTCAATTGTCATGGTTGCTGTGAATTACTGTGATAGTGAGACACAGGCATTGATTTTATTGCAATTCCAGTAGATATAATACACCTATCTACTATTAACTAAATAGTCATTCCTTAGTTTACAATCGCACATTTCTGTACCTACTTATAAGGCTATAACCTATAGTTAACAGTTATTTATTTTTCCTTTAATGGTATGATACATTTTTTTTTTATTGTACTTCAGCCCGGTGACTATTACTCCTAGACGCATTCCGCGAGTAATCTTTAAGCTGTTATATCATAACATAAGTTATAAGTAT